CAATTGATTGAGTAGATACTTATCGATCAATTTATAGATAAAACACATACTCTGTTATACTCTGTTCTTCGTTTAGCTCTGACATAGGTTTGGTATTTCTCTAATATCTCTTAAACCACAAATCCGTTTGAGGTGAAACTTAATTCATATGAAACTAGACTCAGAACACGGTTCATGGACACCAAAATCAACTTCAAAGAGTTTCATTTGAGGGAGATATGCTATTCAAAAAATTACAGTTAGGTTTAACGTCTTTATTCTGACCTTCAGTCATTGTGATGAAGATAACTTTGTAACCACAACAAATTTTGAGGTGGTTCTTGTTGCATTAGAAAATAGAAAAATTTGGAGTTGAATTGGAAGATTTATAACCACTCAAAGTTGACCTTCGTTTTGCTTGAATCAGAATTCGAATTTATTGAGGCAAATACTAAAAGTTCTACATTGATTGATTAAGCTCTCGAGCAACATCCTGCTCAAACATGTTATTGAGTAAAAAGCACTAGAAGAAATGAGGAAATGAAATGCCATTATCAGATGTTACTCGAGCCTGATCAAACAACTACATACTCGATCACTTTATCGAGTTCCTGGAAATAATTGATCACTTAATTGATTATTGGTTGATCGATAAACTGTCAGGAAAAAGGTTGAACTTCCTCACTCATAACATAAGATTTATCGATCACCTGATCGATAAATAGGTCATCGATAAGAAGACAGATAAATGGTAAAACTCTTCCACTTAAGTTATATTCTATTTCTTTCATCATTTATCGATCACTTTATCGATAAGATATTTATCGATAACCTGATCGAACATTGTTTAATAACCTACTCAGTTTGTTTTTGTTCAAGGTTGTAATTTGGTTGTTTTATCGATCACTTGACCGATCCGGGATTTATCGATCAAATGATCGATTATCATTGTTTCACTGAGTTACTTTTTAAGCTGTATTTTTCTATCACTTGATCGATAATCTAATTATCGATAAATTGATCGATCACCCAATCTTCTGAAACTTCTGTTTTCACATAACGTGATCGATCAAGGTTTTTCCTAGTATTTCTGAAATAAGTTTTCAACAGTATTTTATCAATCACTTAATTGATTAAGGTTTAATCGATCACTTACTCGATCATCTTATATTCGGTAACTTCACTGTGAAAATCTTTGTTAAACCTTTTTATCAATCACTTTTTCCTATCAACCATTTATCAATAAAGTATTCGATCGACACACTTTGAAAATATATTTCTGTTATACTTAGCTTTATCGATAACTTGATCGATTAAACAGTTTTCGATCACTTGTTTGATCATTATACCAATTCATTTCATAATAGCTTTTCACGATGATTTCGAAATCTTTTATCTTTTTATCTTTAAAATTTTCTCAGTCTTCCTTTTACATATAACTCTCTCTTGAAAGGATACGAAGGCAAATGTAACTTGAAAAAGATTATCCTTGCATAATCCATTTAAAGCTCACTGCATTCATGCTTCATCCTCTATCTATCATTTGTTCGACCATCATATAATCCATAATCTATTTGATAATTGCATATACCTGCTATATCTTTTCTTCATATAATTAATCGATAACTTGATCGATCAAAGCTTTATCGATCAAGACATCGAACAAGTAAGTTCATCTTACTTTCTGAATATCTGAATATCTGATGATTGATTCCATATTTTCCAACTTATTGTTTCTAAGATTATCAAATACTTATCACTTGATTTGAGGAAAATTATTTTAGGTAAAGAGCCGCAACGAATTTATGATGTGAAGAATCGACTTTCATTAGAAGCTTCCAACAGCTAGTTTCAACGGTCATATTCTTCAAGCCAAAGGGAAGAAAGTCCTCAACGGTCAAGTACCCAATATCATCTATAAATAGAAGAGCATTCAAAACAAAACAAATGAGAGAAGAGTCTGAGCTTACAACATCAGATGCTAAAATGCCGAATCAACATATTCTCATTTAGAGCTCCGAGTGAAAACTCCCTTTCTCTGTACTTCATAGACCAAAACGTATGTATTCGTAAAATAGAGAGGAGAGTTTCCCAAATGTGCTTAAGATTCACCTATCACTTCTTTGAGAGAAGAAATATCCAATCCTCATTATCATTATCAGATTGTATCCTTACGGTGTGTAAGGGGGAGTGTTTACCTCAGTGTGAGATTGCTGTTAACTAAACTAGTTAGTCTAAGAATTGTAAGTGGTGTCACAAGTGCCCAGATCAAACTTGTGGTTGTAGTGGTTCTCAAGTACCAGTGTTAAACTTAAGGGAGATAGTGGATTGAAAATCTCAGGGGGAGCCTAGGGACTGGACGTAGGTCAGTGAGAACCGAACCAGGACAAATCACAGTTTGCATCTTCTCTTCCCTTACCTCTTTATATTTCCAGCTAAACCATTTTACTATTGCGATTATGCTTATGTCAATTCATTACTTTTATGCTCAGAATTTCTTATGAATTTTATTACATTGCGAAAAGGTTTTTAATTTTAATTAACACCCAATTCACCCCCTATTGGGTAATCAGCTATTCTTACACTTTCTTATAATAAACTCTTTCAAATTTCATTAAAAATGAGTGAATATGTAGTACGAAGCTCTGATGATAACTACAAATGACTTCCCTTCACCTAATGTTTTTGTTGGATCCAAAGAGTTTCTCCGAACGCACTTGGGCCTTTATAGGATTTCCTACTGATAAATTATTCAAATTTTATTGAATAAAATTATTTAATAGTTTTTTGTTATTTAATGTTAGATTATTACAAATTTTGAGAAGTAGAAATGTAGTTGGCTTACTGGCTAACTTTTTCCACCTATTGTAGAGACATTGGTTAACTATATCTTCATATTAAAATGAGTCAACTGCACAAAAGTTGTTTTGAGGTTTTTTGGTCAACCCTCTTATTTTTCAAAAAGTCTTTTCAATATAAGAGAAAAATTTTCCACATTAGAAAAATAAAAGTTTCCTCATCCCATAATATTTTCACTATGGTATGAAGACCAAAGCTGCTAGTTCAGCCCGAAAATTGACAAACCAGTCAAGTAACTAGTGCAGTTAAGCATGTAGACCGGAATCAAATTGACTCGGGATGGGGTGCCCCGATGTAAGCCGGACCAAATCGGGAGCAACCCAGTTAACCCACGTGGTTTGGTGGGTCAACCTAATCAATCTTTTTTTTTAAATTAAAAAAAAAGTTATTTTGAGCCAAAACCTTTTTCTTTTTTTTTTTAAGCTACTGATAATATTAGTTTTGTGATTAATAGACTACAGGCAGGAATATTTTGTTATCCTATATCTTAGTTTGATATTTTGCTACGATTAATGTATAGTGATCTTTTTAATATGATAATATGATGTGAATTTGTCAAAGAGATTATAAAGAAGATCAGAAAGAAATTGTAAGAATGTGATTATTTTGTTTATAATTTAAGGTAATGAACTAATATTTAGTCCTTAGATGGTATGATAAAAATTTCAATTATTTTTCAATTTTTTATTTCTCACCTGTTTAACCTTGAATTAACTCTAGTCTAACCCATTAATACTTGACCTTTTACCTCAAATGATCTAGTTTTCACTACCTTGATTTTCACTTCAGGTAAAACAAATATATATATAAGTTTTTATTTTGAACTAAGATACTTTAAAAATATTCACAACAATGGTTTTAAAGGAATAGTATTTCGAAATATAATCAGAAAAATATTTTTACGTATATGCTCTCTCGTTCTTTCTTTTTTTCGGGCCAAAAATAATTTCTGCTGATAAATGCTTCATAATCCATTAGCTGTTATGTCAGATATAATTATTAACTAAAATCAAAATAGTATTCAATGCAAACAACAAGAATCATCGAATTTTCTTCTCCATTCCTCTTATGAGCAACTTCTTCCCCCAAAAAAAAAAGTAAAAGACTCTTCACCATGATGGTTACTTCAAATAAAATAAAATTTTTTTCTATCACTGCTATGGTAATTCCTCATCTCTTCTATCCTTTTTAAAATCTTCACTTTTTTGTAAATTTTTTTTTTATACCAATATCAATTGTTTTAGTATAAGACTTTCTCTAGCTTAATTTTGCTAAAATTACAAAAACCTCCCAAATATTTTCACAACCTTAATTGTAATAAATTTCCTAACATTTTTAATAATATTTTGATAACAATTCTAAAATCTTTTGTTTTAAGTACATGTATTTCTTTATTTGAAAGTAATCTTTTTTGAGGCATTGTTAAATACTAAATGTGGATACCTCTCCCAATAAAGATTTATTCAAATCTTAGTTTATCACATTCGTCCTTAAATTTCATTTTGGATTTTGACTGTAGTGTTCCTTCCCTCCCCCCGCGTGATAAGGAGTTCGCATTCGTATGCCATTTGGATTTACTGTTCAAGCAGAGTCATTAGATAGCAAACATACGTAATTTTAAACATATAAAAAAAATTAAGACCTTTATGAGATGCAATATAAATTCATGAATTATTTTGATAAAATGTCAGTTCAGAAATTAATTGCAGTTTTCAGTAAAATTAAGAGATAAAAATAATGAAGTTGACTATAACATGTTAAATATGAAAACAATAATTTTAAGTCAATAAACTAATTTAAGCTTTTAAATATATATTATTTTATCCAAATGAGATTGGATTAAAAAAAGGGTCAAAATAATGATGGAAAAGATCAACTTATCAATGAAAGAATCAATAAATAGAGGGATGTAATTTAAAAAACACACCTCACTTGCCACCCAATGAGGTTAGATATATTAATATTACTTCTTCATTCAAATTATAAAAAATAAACTGAAAGTTAGTAGATTGACCACCTTTGTCCAATGTCCTAATATGCCTTACGTCGACTTTTTAACTTACTTTTTTTATTTTACTTTATCTTTTTTTTTTTTTGCAAAAGCTATTATTCTCAACTGTAGCTTTGGCCAAGAAGCGACGAACAAATTGGAAATCCTTTCATCAATATAGCAATACATTATCAAACATATATATATATATATAGTACACATTCTTGCTAGAAAGCATAATCCTAACAAGGCTTATATTATTCAAGAGCCCAAGTGATTAACGATAAACAGAAGAAACAAAATACAAAATGCCTGTAATAATCCATAACTACAATCACACAACTCTTTTTTTCCCCCCTTCTCATCACCAACAATATCGAAGTTTGTACCACATGCAATCTATAAACCGAAAGTAAGTATACCTCCAGGATCTACTGTAGAGCAAAGGACCAACAACTATCCAAAATCCTGAAACAAATCCTAGAGACATGCTCACATAAAACCCATTGACCCCATTTCTCTTACCTTCTTTGTCATCAGGGTGGTTTGGGATATTCTGCAAATCATCGCAATTCTTTGGTAGCGGAGGACCACAGAGATTGTTGCCCGCAAAACTTGATGCTTCGAAGCTTTGCAATTGAGTGCCTGTTGGAATTTTCCCCATCAAATTGTTGGATGACAAGTTCAACTTGCTCAAAAAATTCAAATTGGACATGCTTGATGGGATTTTACCATAAAGCTGATTTTCTGAGAGATCCATTGACTCCAACCATTCCATGTTTCCAATATTTTGAGGAATCTTACCACTCAAAAGATTGTTTGACAAGTTCAGGAAATGCAACCCCTTGAGAGATGTAATTTCTCTTGGTATCTCCCCACATAATTTATTACCAGAGAGATCTATGCTTGTGATGAGGCCCAACAAAGTATATACATCATCTCTTCCTTTTAGCTCTAGAAGCACATCAGTTATAGATCGAGAAGTTCCATTCATTTCGCCATAGATGTGTGACTCTAGAGTGGTATTCTTTACTAGCATAACACTCAATTGATTGATGCATTTTGGTATTTGTCCCGTCAAGTTGTTCTGTGCAAGATCCAAGATATGTAGCAAATTCAAAGAGCATATTTGATTGGGAATCTTACCATTGAATTGGTTTGATCTGAGGAGAAAGATCTGCAAATTTAAGAGAATGTCTCCAACCTATGGTGGAATGATTCCTAAAAATTGATTCTCTCTAAGATCCAAAAATAACAATTTAGTACTATTCTTCAAACAAACAGGAAAATTTCCTGAAAGAGAGTTGTTACGGAGTTGCAATGAGTACAACCAAGGTAAGGATCCCAAGGATGTGGGCAAGTTCCCATTGAAATGGTTATTATCAAACTTGACGATCATTAGATTATTTGACCACATCTTCCAACAATCAGGTATTTCACCTGACAAATTATTTGATGCTAAATCGAGATATTCTAACATCATTGGCTCTCCTTTTTCCTGACATGAGAAGGAGGCTATGGATCCAGAAAACCAATTATTTGAGAGGTCTAAGTATTTCACAATTGGTGATATGTGTGGTAAAGGACCACTTAAGCGATTTGAGCTTAAATCAATGGTGTAGACATTGATGGGATTCTTCAATGCATAAGAAAGCTCTCCATGGATATCATTGTTAGAGAAATCAAAAGAAGAAGCATCGGGGAATGCACTCCACAGCCATGTGGGGATAGTATCAGAGATGTTGTTGTTAGGTATGGACAAATACTCAAGATGTTTCAGTGATCGAATCCATGATGGAAAGTGGGGACCTAAATGACATAAGGCTATGTGCAAGGAGATCAACTTTTGAAAAGATGGCTTCCAATTGGGACCTACTTTTAAAGTAAGTGTGTTTCTTGATGCGCCGAAATTATTTAATTTAGCGAAATTGGCGAGGTGATGTTCATTTACAATTCCATGGAAAAGATTATCACTGATATCAAGATATTCTAATTCAGAAAGTGATTGCAAAACATCAAAAGGATTCCCATCAAATTTATTTCCCAAAACTTGAAGATATTTCAAAGAGGTAAGATTTCTGAAAGATATAGGAATTGCACCTTGAATAGAACTGTGAGAGATAGAAAGGACACGGAGATTTTTGAAAATCCCAATTTGGGCTGTCAAATTACCATAAACTTTTGAACCACCAATTGACAAAACCTCGAGTGTGTGAGAAGCACAATTAGAGATTATTTCTATTAACCCAGAAACTTGTTGATTGAAGTTATTGTTACGGAGACAAACACTTCTTAAGTTACAGAGCTTGCTTAAAGAGTTTGGAAATGACCCTTCTAATTGATTGTATGTCAAAACAAGAGTAACCATAGAAGTCAAGTTTCCAATTGCATGTGAAATTGTTCCATGCAGATTGTTTTCAGAAAGATCAAGAAACTTGAGATTGTTCAAAGTATATAAGCAATCAGGGATAGAAGAATTAAACAAATTTTGAGACAAATCAAGATCTTCAATGAGAGAGAGGTTATGAATACCATTTGGGATGGATCCTTGCAAATAATTATATCTTAATTTAAGCGAAACCAAATTCTTTAGTCGAAAAATCCACTTTGGAATGGAAGGAGATCCAAAACCAAAAGAGAAGGAAAGGTCAAGGATTGTTAGAGATGAAAAGTTTATGGCAATGGCTGGATGGAAATTGTGATGAAGAGCACACCGTTGTAGGTGTAACTCTGTCAGTGAGGGAAGAGATTGCAAAACAGGCAACCAATCAAAGGCATTAGACAGATTAACAAAACTCAATTGAAGATATTGGAGTGAAGAAAGAGATGATATCCACTGAAGATTTTCTTCATACATTGATATCCCAGAAATAAATGATGTCCATTGAAGATTTTCTTCATACATTGAAAACCCATTCTTGTCATATTGATGACCACCAGAGAGACCAAGATAAAGTAGATTTGATAAATTACCAATTTGATGGGGAATCTTTCCAGTAAAATGATTACCTCCAAGGTCAAGATGGAGCAAACCAGAGAGATTTCCTATTTGGTGAGGAATGCTTCCACTGAATCCCACATATGAGAGGTTGAGATAGGTCAATCTCTTTATTGAGCAAAGGAAACTTGGAATTTGCAGGCCTCCAAAATTGTTGTTGCTTAAATCCAAGTGACTTAGTTCTTTCAACTGAAGTATCGAAGGATGTATTTCACCCCCAAACCATGATATCTCAGAAACATCAAAACCCCCAAGCCATGATATCTCAGAAACATCATAACCTCCATACAAGGAAGTAATTGAAGTTGAGAGGTGAAGTTCAAGAATGTGACCTGTTTCATGATTGCAAGAAACTGATGTCCAGTTGCAGCAATTTTTGTTATCATCAGACCAAGTGGCAAGCTTGTTTGAAGGATCATGAAGATGCTGCTTGAAATTAAGCAGGGCTTGTCGCTCACTAGGAATGCAAAGAACTTGATCAAATGCTTTGCATTTGCATAAGGGATTTAGTGATGAGGTGAGTGAGCAAATCAAAATGAACACAATGGTATTTTCACACAAACCCATGATTAGTTTCTCTACTAGAGCTGGCTTACAACTCTACACAAGATTACTGGTATTTATAGTGTTAGAAAGTGGGGGTCTAAGCAAAACTTTCACATAACAGCGAATGACTTCCTACAAAGCGTTCATTCTATAGGCGTCTTGGTCAATACACAATGACAGTGAGATGTGAAACTTGAGACAACTATGTATGTAAAAGGTATACATAATTCTTTATTATTTATGTAGAGTTATGGCCTAATAGGTCTCATAATTACCTTAAAAAAATCATGGATTTAAGTAATTTTAATTGTTATATTCGTCTCGAAATATGACTGTAAAAGTTATAAAACGTTATTGCTATCATTAGCAAATCACTTACATACATATAAATTGATGAAAATAATTTAAAGGAACAGCACAACTAATCTTGGTATACAATATATTCTTACATATGTACTTTTTTTTTTTATAAGTAAGGTGTTTATAACTTTTTATATATGTACGAGTGATACATCTTGAAGAATCTGCCTTTGACAATTGAATTAAGTGTTGATAAATAAATTTTAATTGATAAATGTTCATAAATATTATAATTGATTCTAATTAAAAAAAATATGTTCATATATTCTTTCTTATAATAAACTCTTTTTCAAATTTCATGAAAAATGAGTGAATATGCATGAAGTTTTCTATTGTCCCTTCCATGATAATTACAAATGACTCCCCTACCTAACTTGTTTGTTGGATCCAAAGAGTTTCTTATACAAGTGTTAGACTTCATAGAATTTCCTACAGACAAATTAGTCGAATTATCATGAATAAATTTACTCAATTAATAGTTATATTTATAATGTTAGATGCATGGTTACAAATTCTGGAAAGTAAAAACATAGTTGGCAAACTTTTTTCACACAAGTTAACCATACAAAACTTGTGTGGAGGGTTCTTGACTTATTATTATTTTTATTTTCCAAAGCTCTTTTCAAATTTAACAGAAAACTTTTTCACATTAAAAAAATAAAAGTTTCCTCATTGCACAATATTTTCATCCTGAACAAACCAAAAACGCATGTATAATCTTCTTCCTTTTCAACTAATTAAAATATTTTAAAAACAACAACAGAAATAATTTTAAATGAATATTATGTTTAAATATAATCATAAGAATATTTATATATATAATGTCTTATATGAATGTCAGGCAAATTAAATAGAAATTTTCTTCTACTATCACTATACGATGGGACAAATCGATTAGGACAGAAGAAGAATCATGGAATTTTCTTCTCCACTTCTCTCTTGCCAAATTTCTTTTCCAATTATGAACAAATTTTTCCACATAAGAAAAGTAAAAGATTCCTCACCCTAACGTTTACTTCAAATAGAATACAAAAAATTTTCTATCACTACTGTGACAATTGTTCATCTATTCTGTCCGTTTTAAAGTGGTCACCTTTTGTGAGTCTTCTTTAGTATTTGTCATCAAAGATGTGTGACTATCAACATCAATTTTTTCAGTATAACACTTGATCTATCTCAGTTTTGCTAAAATTACAAAAACCTTTCGAATATTTTTGCAACCTTAATTTTAATATATATTTTTAACATTTTATAATAATGTTTTGGTAACAAATTTTAAAAATATTTTTCTTAATTGAAGTTTATGTTAAAAACGTTTATATGACTATCTAAAAGGCCAAATTGAGAATAACTCTCTCAAAGATGTTATTCTTTTTATTCACATGAACTCAAATTAAATTCAACATCTCATATTTAAGCGTTCGAAACCTCTTTCACTAAGATCAATGCAGGTTGGTGTTTTATTCTCATAATCTAACAATCAATGCTTTCTTTGTCGTCAATTTAATGAATCTTAGACGGAAAACAGCATAATATTTAAATAAATATTTTAGTAAACTCTCTTTCCTTTATAATTTTGGTCGGATGAGCACCCATCCAATGTTTATTTTCTTTTGGCTTTAGTTTTATTTTACATAGCATTTCCCAATTTTGCCGTAGTAAAAAAGAATAAAGGAAAATGTAAAGCCCCAATGAAAAAGTGGGTATGGGACCTATAATGAAAAAATGGTTGATGAAGATAGAACCTGTAATAAAAAAGGTAGCACAAATTATTTTTCTTTTTAGAAAAAGCCAAGTGTGCAGAAAAACTCATTAACTTTTACATAAAATGCACCAAGCATCGTATGCTTTTTGGAGGTTCAAAAATGCATATAAAAATGCAAAATTAGAGTGAAAATGATACAACTACTAAAATAACATAAAATCCGTTTACTTTTTACAATGGGACACATGCTATTTAAAAAATATAAAATGTAAATTTACAAAAATACTTATAACTTTCTTTCAAAGTGCGCCAAATATCATATGTTTTTCAAATGTGCAAAAATAAATTGTACTGATCAATATTACTATGTTGATTTAGATCAAGTGCGCTGATCTACATAAATCTTTCCCAGTCGTTGAAAAAACTGGAAAAAAAAAACCACAAAAAATCCAGAAGCTTCAAATGGAGACAATAACACTTCAAATGGAGACAATAACATGAAGATAAGCCAATAGCTTCCTCTACTCTCTACCATGCCCTTAAAGAGGAAAACACAGAGGGTGATAAGGTGACGGGCAGAGGCAAACATTCTTGTATTACAGTACGAGGCAGCAGCAGAAGAAGAAGGGTGATGAAAGAAGGATGACGCAATAATGTTAGGAAATGGAGGGTGTCAGGTCCCACAAATTGCCAAACATGTTAAGTTGGCAGTCCAATAGTATGAGGAGCCATTTGACTTTAACCATGTACCGCCCTCACAAATCTCACCACTTTGACCAATCATCTTTCAGTCTACCTTGCTTGACTCACCAACCATCTTCAGCAGCAGTAGAGATGCATGAATCGACTCTGCCCATTATCTAGCAACTTGCACCCACCTTCTCTAACAATCATAACCATTAAGAAAACCACATACTTATTTGCACCAATTACATTACCCAAATGTCTCGTTTCAACATTATAATCCTTGCCTCTCTTCCTTCACCCACTAGGGGTAGAAATAGGCCAGGCGGCCTGTCAGGGGCCTGTGACCTGGCCTGTAAATAGCCTGGCTTGACCTGGCCTATTTAGATATCAAACCAGGCTCAGGCCTGTAAAATGGCCTGTTTACTTTGTCAGGCCAGGCTCAGGCCTGATAGTAAGCCTGTTAGGCCTGTCAGGCGGCCTGGGCCTTTTTTTTTTTTAGGTTAAAATTGTAAATTGATAGGAGGGAATCTGCTATTCTGATTAGTTAATTGAAAAAAATCCATCCACATAAACATGTTATCTAGAGCCTATTGCATGCTTCATTTCATTTTCATTCTCTTTAATAAAAATAATTGATGTATGTATAATGACACATATTTGAACAGAGAAAGAAAACATGAGTGCATTAAAAAAAAATAAAAGCATCATTCATTTATTTGATCCATTCTTTTCATATTAATCGTATATAGAATATATATATATATATATAGAATTGACCTATTATATTTTAGACCGTATATATGTGTGCTCAATCTAATTCTTATTATAATAGTTACTTAACTAATTTAAATAAATTATAATAACTGTAATATTTTTTTAAAAAAACAACCATGTGTAACAACATGATCAAATATCATTTTGTTAGTAAATTAGTTTGAATAAATGATAAATTTAAAATATAAAAGGGATTAAGGATGTTTCATATTTTAAATTAGATCTAGTCATCAACTAATTTTTATACTAGAGATGGGATGAAGTGATATTTTTATAACAGAGTGAAATTATGTTTTCTAATAATTTTTCATATTAGATTTTTTTTTGGCATAAGGGGACATGTTTTACAAATTGTGTTAATTTGATAATTTCATATTTTGTTTGTATTTTAGATCAATTAGGTTGAATTATTGTAATTTTAAATTGATTTATGTGTGTTTAAAATTTGTTAAAAAAAACAGGCCTCTTAACAGACCACAGGCCAGGCCAGGCCTGATTATAGGCTAGGCTTAGGCTGATTAAAAGGCCTTTCACAGGCCGTAGGCCAGGCTCAGGCCAACAGGCCAGGCCTGTTAAGGGTGAGGCCTAGCCTGGCCTGGCCTGTTTCCACCCCTATCACCCACATTTAACGACTCCAACAAGTCCTCTTCCACCGTAAATCCATTATCTCCTTCTCTGTTCATACCTTCCAAGACTAATCAAAAACTATATTTATTGCATATCAAACTCTTGTCTCTGGTTTATACTTACTACCTCTAGTTTTTTATATAAGAGTTAGTTTGACTTTTAATTTGGTCTTATCTCTCATATTTGATCTTTTTTTTTTCAAAGTAGTCCTTGTAGTAATTGAAAATGTTAAGGATTTAAATAGTAGTTTTAGCAAACACATATGATTAATATAGGTATTTTAAGGAAGACAACACATACGTATTACAAATAACTTACTTAAGAAACTTTTTTAATTAATTCAAATTAATCAACTAGATCTTATATTAAGGATTGGAGGTTGTATTAATTATTATCTCTTTTGTTTTCTCCCTCTTCTTGCATTTCATCAACCTGCATATTGTCACTTTTCATAAATGCTCAGAAAAAGATCTAAGTTGAGTTGGGCTGGCTACTCCATTGCCCAACAAAGGCCGAAAATGCACATAAAAATGCAAAATTAGAGTGAAAATTATACAACTACTAAAATAACATAAAGTTCGTTTACTTTTTATAGTGGGACACATGCTATTTAAAAAAATATAAAAGGAAAATTTACAAAAATACTTATAAACTTTTTTTCAAAGTGCGCCAAATATCATAGTTTTTTAAATGTGCAAAAATAAATTGCACTGATCAATATTACTATGTTGATTTAGATCAAGTGCGCTAATCTAGACAAATCTTTTCAAATCGTTGAAAAAACTGAAAAAAAGCATAAAAAATCCAGAAGCTTCAAATGGAGACAATAACTTGAAGATAAGCCAATTGGATTGAACTTTTAATTTCAACCCC